GCACCCGAATCCACACTTTCAGAGAATTTTAGAAGTGATTCAGTTCAGTAGTTTTCCGACTTAGAAACTAGGAAGGCTGACCAGAACATCATCAATAGTAGTATCCAGAGGTGAGTACCATGCTCAAAATTTGTCATTTCTGCTAGTGTAAGCACCATTGCTCTGATACCATGTGACCTCAGTAACTCCCAGACCATAGAATAAGGAAGGAGGTTACATCTATTAGTGATCATGGCTGATAGTATCTTTCACTACATTCGGTTATTTATTACTGAATCTACTAATCTTTGGTGCCTGTTCCTGCTCCTTTTATTTATGCTAAGGCCTTCTCCCAATTCTAACGTTTCTGCTGTTCTTGTTTCACTTTATTTAATAGCTTTTTCTGTTTCACATACTGAATTATTTTATCACAGGCTAACTCCTTTCTCCCTTTAATCTTTTTTTTTTTCCTTTTCAAATCTTCTTTCTCAGTATTTTCAAGCTCCTGTCCATTTGTCCTCTTCTTTTTTTAGTCCTACAAATATTTAAAAAATGAGGGTTTTTTTCATTATTTTTCTGATAATCCTTACCTGTTACACCACTACAATATTATCACTTCCCTCAACTGTAGCTCCTGATTGGTATTCCAAAATTATCAGCCCAGGTCTCTGATAAATTCACTGTCATTCAAGTCCCTTGATTTAAACTCTTCTTCATGTCCCAAATCCACTTAAGAATTTTTTCACTTTTTTTTTTTTGAGGTCCATTGCTTCTTCCCTGTCAATGCTTTCTCAGTATCCTTCCTGGCACGGCATTGCCTCGCTCCTTGTTCCATTTCTCCCAGTTCCCCCAGTTGTTGTTCCTGCTGCCCCATGTAGAATCCCTCGCCACGCTTTGTCTTCCTGCCACTGGTGCGTCTTCTCCATCCAGACTTTGCTTTCTCCTTCCCTTTGCTTGATGTCCTTTGCCTGGGTCTCAGTGTGTCCTGGTTTGAGTGACACAGGACTAATTTCTCTTCTAACACTTGGGAAAACTGCACTTTTAGAAGACTCTTGTGTCTGAATTTGTGAAAATATTTACTTTATAGCCAGCTATGGTAGGTGTGTTTCAAGGTCTCAGTTTTCTTGAGCTTGCCAGGTGCAGTGAGGAGGAGGAGCAAGACCCAGCACTTGATCCAAGCAGGCCAACAGGATTATTTCATACCATGAATGTCACATTCACTAAAAATTAGAAAGTTTGCTGATGAATTCTCTCTATCCCTTGTTGGCAGCAATCCAGAGAACTTCTTGCCCCGGTGCTGGACCCCTGAGGCCTTCCCTTCCTCCCGAGGCTGTAGCAGTCACAGTGTCCAACTTTTGCTGTCCACTGCTGGGAGTGCACAGCTTCCTACTGACATAATTGTCTGAGTACAATCCTTCTATATTTTATATTGCTATCGGGATCAATGCTGGTTCTTTAATATTATTAATGTTAATTATTTAGTCTTATCCTATTAAATCTATTCATATATCAGCCCTTGTGTTTCCTTGCTTTCCCCTGATTCCCCTTCCTGGGTGGGGAGGGGTCATCGGGAGGTAGAATAATTGTCTAAACGACAATAAATTTTTGTGGGTTTCTTAAACCATAACACAGTGTCATCTCAAACCTCACCATATCTTTCCCAGAGGTAGTTCAAGGCTTCTGAAGAGTGTAGATGAAACAGAATTGTGCTGATTTAACGACCAACGCCAACACTGCATCTGCCATTAGCAGGAAAAGGAAAAGTCTGGGCAAAAACAGATGTGCTGTTCCTGGTGTTACCTGAGGAAGAAGGTGGTCAAGGCTGTGAATGGTGACTGCTGCTGAAAGGAGCCCCCAGCCCCCACTTCTCATCAAGCACTTTCTTCTCAAGACTGGGTTTTTTTTTTTCTCACCAGAGAAACACTCTACTAAGCAGTCAGTGGGCAACATGTGGCTGCTGTTTCCCTTGGAGGAACTTCTAGATTCAGATCTGAAATTAGCATCTGGAACTCCTAGATTCAGTACTGAAACTACTGGTCTTTAGGGAAAATTGTGAAGAATATGTAGACATTACCTTCCTGAAAAATGAAATTGCAGTTGTTTCCTATCACCTTTCATTTTGGTGCAGAGGAAAGAGAACCTGCCTGAAGCAGGGCAGCACTGAGCTGCTGCTGCTCTTCCTTTGCAGAGCTGGGCTTCTGAAAGAGCCATTCCCCTCACAATACCTCATGGAATTCTTTTATTTATAAGATGTGTAGACAAATGCCCCAAACAGTTTTAACCTGTAGGAAAATACAGGTGTATTTGATAACAAGAAGAACCTTTGCCACACACTCTTAAGGACACTTGCAAGGTGAGGAGGGGTATTTGGTCTACTGGGAGGTGTCCCTGCCTATGGCAGTGTGGTTGGAACTAAATGATCTTTAAGGTCCCTTCCAACCTAAACCATTCTATGATTCTATTTTACCCCCACTCTCACTATCCTCTTGGGGAAGGAAACTTGTTTTATTGGTAATCTGTGGTCACTGCAGCACAGACCTCAGCTTTAGTTTCAACTTGGATTTACCATTTCTAGGTTTCTCTCTCAAGGGAATCTTTTTTTCTAAGTCCCTAAATTTCTTTGATACAAAGCTGTACCTTTTTGCTTTATTCCTGAACTAACTAAGATGCTATCTGGAAATGCTCTTTGTGTCATGCATGATTAATTTGCAGTTAAACACACTAATGTTAACATAAGATTTTTGTATGTAGTAAGTTGTTAGAGTAAGAAACGCGAAAGTAACAGCTGCATATACAGCATAGCTGTCCTTTCTTACTAGTGTGCAGTCAGTATTTACCTTGCTTTTTCCACAGGATGTTTTTTCCACTCTGTGGTCAAGATGCCAGCAGTCACTGTGTCTTACATTTGGTTTCTCTATGAAAATCCTTGTGTAGTTCTACAGCTTATTTTGATGAACTCTGAGAATTGCCAAGCCTTTTCTGGAGCTTTCCATGGCTTCATGACTGAGGCTTCCATCTGGAGGCAATCAACACAAACTCTCAGTTCTTTTTCAAGACAACTTTTGGATTAGAATTGCATCTAAGCATTGCTTAGCACCTAACATGGTTGATGCACAAACTGATGCACACCTCTCAAATTAGCTGATCCATACTGATCCACTTGCTATAGAAAACAACTTTTTTTGTCCTCTAGTGATCGGAGCGTGGGGGGAGGGGAGTCCCATGGAGGATCTGGGAGTCAGAATGATGAGACCAGTTCAAAACATCACAAACACTCATTTTCTTTCCTCAAATTCACCTATTGATTTTGAACAAAAAAGACAAGAGTTCCTATAGATAACATCGTCCTGACTTAATCCTGTAGCATAGCCCAATCTATGGCTTTAGTGAGGTACATGACACACAAAAAAATAATAGAGTCATACAATTGCCCATGCCCACCGTCACACCTGATCCTTTATCATGGTTCATTTGCAAAAAGGGAGAACTGAGATATTGTCAGCAGCATGCTGTAACTATGGCATATCCTAACTGCTGAGCATTTGCCATCACAAGTTACTTGGAGTTTTGTGAAACTGGGGAGTATTTGTGCAAAAGATGGGGGAAATATCAAAATGTCATCTTTTGGCATTCCCTTGTCTTCCGTGTGGATCTCCAGCAAGGTGAATCCTGGAATTGCACCACACAATGTCACCGGTACTAATGGGGTAAATGGCAGCAGTGGTGCTGGATATTACTGTCTTAAATGAAATAAGCAGGGATCATTACCTTGGTGTAAGAGGTCACCAGCATGGCTTGGCAACAGGGAAATCATGACCCATCATAAGGACTTCATAGTTCAGAAAGCGTTGGCCCCGGGTGTCAGAGCTGGGAGGTGAATGGGCAAACAGCATATTTTGAAATCAGGAAGACCTTTACCAATGCCAACATTCATGTATCTGGACTCCATTTGGACCTCACGAGCAGGCTGTATTGCAGGGATCCCAGGGCCTTCTCGCCTCCTTTGAGGACTCTGTCACTCCTGCCATTCTTGCCATCTGAATCACTGCTTTGCCCACATCTTTAGGTCCTCCCTCAATTTGCTCTCCCTCACAAACACTGTCCAGCCTGGTTCTTATCTTCTGCTTCTCCAGGTCTCTGTGCTCCTCCACTGTCATTGGCTCCCAGCTGGGAAAATACAAAATGCCTGGGAGAGCATCTCCGGTGGAGCTGGGCAGAATTTCCTCCATCAGGGAGCAGCAGTTCTACATGTGGCTGTATCCTGTCCTTGTTGAATTGACAGCAGCTTCCCAGGGGTGACAAAAGGCCCTGTCTGATCACCTTCTTATTCCTGCCATGTTTCCTAAATCACATCACAGAGATAGCAGAACTTCTTCATAAAATAGCTATACTTTAAAAATAAGAAGGGCAGGGGGGAAGGATGCTCTGTTTTGAAAAATCTTACTCTCAAATGTTGTTGACCAACTTTCACCGAAACTTGAAAAATCAAATAAAATAAAAAAAAAACCCCACAACAAAACCCAAACAACTGTGTTAGAAGGCAAGTCTGGCAAGGAAAGGAATCAAACCAAGCAGCATTTTTAAAACTATGAGCAAGAAGCCTATTTGCAGGGCTTTGAGCAACTTTAAGCATAAAAATTGACTTAAAAATATAACTATACTTGTATGTCAACTTAGCTATTGTATAGCTTCAAAGCTATTGCACAACTCGAATGTCAATTCTGTTGATATAATGTGACAAAAGACTCTTCCTTTCTGATGTGGACTGTGACCAGTGCAGACAAACCATTTCCCATTTCCTGCCTTCACTGCATTCATGAGCTGTAAGCACCAGCTGAGAGCCGACTTCTCTACGGACAGGTCAGTGATAACAACACAGATGAACTCGCGTATGTACTTAGCACCTCCAATTTCAGTTGTCTGCAGACAGCTGCACTTGGAATAAGTCTTCTTTTAATGCCAGGCTTCTGACTTTCTCTGGAATTGGTTTGAAAGGTGAAAGACCTTGTTTACTTTTGTCCATGGAGTTCCCATTTTTTCATGGAAAGATAACAAGAAGAGGCTGTGAAGAACTGCTGGGCAAGAATGGAAAGAATGGTAGCTATTTAATAAGAGAGAGCGAAAGCGTGGAAGGAGCCTTGTGTCTCTGTGTTTTGTAAGTACTCTAATACTAACTTTTTTTATGAATTTTCAGACAGCCCCAAAGACAAGTGTTCATCTTCTCTAACATTATTAGTCCTTCCCTAATATTAACAGACTTCAAGGAGGCACGTATGTGTATTCAAGTAATGCTGGTTGCCTTAGGCTTCCTTTACAGTGAGTGGTGAGAGTGTGGCACTTGCAAAAGACATGTTATACAACAGAGGATAGATGAACTGTAATCTGCTGGTGCTGGTCTCTCTCTGCAGACAATAAGGGGAGCGCAGAGAAAATAGTTTAGACTGCCAAAACATGGTAAGAACCTTACTCAAAGTTAGTGCCTCTGTAATGATGAGTAAATACCATTTTAGCACTGTTGAGACAGTGAAAAGTCTCATGGTAGGTTACAAAACAGTTCCTGCTTCATAGACTTTCCATCTGATGAAAGCTTACCCTTGTGCTTCAAAAGAATTTTGTCTGATGTAAGAACATAAGCTGAGACAGAAAGCTATAATGTCCTGTTCGAACTCATATGACAAGTCCATGAACAAGACGGGCAAAGAAAATTGCTACTTCTAGTTCTTAACTTTAATTACTACAATTAAAATTTTATTATTTTCTTTTCCTGTAGGGAAAAGCACTTCTATTTCCCTTTCAAGAAGCCTGTTTTACACTTTTCATATAAAATTGATTTGTTCCTAATGCCTTCAAAGTTTATAAATTAGTAACTCTGAGTCTTTGTTTGACCCTATGATGTTTTACACTCTCCTTGAATGTGTTTGAGTATGACATGAAAAATTTTTAACAACATGTCTAATTAATTAAAAAATATCAGAAAATGTTTTTACAAATAATCAAAATCGCATTTCTTTTGAAACAAATGAAAGGAGAAAAAGGGAGAGGGAAATGGACTACTATGGGATTGGTGGGTAGAAGAAAGAAGTCCATGAAATGACAAAGTAAGGAGGAGAGAAATGCCAAGTGGGGGGGCCAAACAGAGCCCTCGGGAAGGGAGCTGCAGGAACCTGCTTTTGGTATGGTGTGGAAGGAGACAACATGGAGAGTGCAGGGAGGGAAGGGACCGTGGGAGGGAAAGGGCATGCATCCCCTGTCAGAAGGGACAAATGGGGATCCTGGCACAGAGGAAGAATGACAATATTAGCCCCTGACGTGGGAAGATGGCTGTTGAGATCTCATGCAGTAAAGGTAGACGAGAAAGTGAAGGGCTGCTTACGTGTGTGCAATGAGTTTGAACTACTGCTGGAACAGAGGGCACGTCTACACTGTACGTTGTGGCAGGCACACACTGACATAAATGTTAAGCTTGGTGCCACATCACCAACACAGTTGCTTTTCTCTTTTTCTCTTTTTCTCTTTTTCTCTTTTTCTCTTTTTCTCTTTTTCTCTTTTTCTCTTTTTCTCTTTTTCTCTTTTTCTCTTTTTCTCTTTTTCTTCCAAATCAGATCTACTTTGTGATAGCCTGCAGACATGTTTTTGTCTGTCGAAAGTGCTCTGGGCAGACATGTGAAAAAAGCATGTGACTTCCAGCTAGCCACTCTGGGTTTTTAGTGTTAAAAAAATGTTAAAACTTTAGTGTTTAGTGTATTTGACTTAAACTCGTGCATTAACAAATGTAACAGTTAAACTGTAGGGGTGCCAGCAATGGTATAACAGATACTGGTTTGCAGAAGTGAAAGCAAAGGTTGTCATAGTATTGGCTCAGAATTCCCTTGGAGACTGGACTGTCTGTCAGTGGTTGCCTAGGCAGAGGAAAGCTGTCCTAAAACTGGAGGCAACCAGCACTGAAACTCTCAGTGTTGTTTCAAGAAAACTTTTGGATTACAATTGCATCTTGAAGTATTGCTTAGCACCTAATGTGGTTGATACACAAACTGATGCACACCTCCCAAATTAGCTGATCCATGGGCAGAGATACTGACCCATTTGCTACAGAAAACAACTTTTTTTGTCCTCTACTGATTGGGGCGTAGGGGGAGGGGAGTTCCATGGAGGATCTGGGAGTCAGAATGATAGGACCAGTTGAAAAGCATCTCTTCTCTTAGTCGGGCGTGGTGCACAGCTCTGCCGACACATCTTCCTCCACAGCACACTGTCACTTTCATCCAAAGCTGTCCCAGGTCTCTGACAGTGCCTCAGTCCAGACCTATGGCTCTTGCTACTGTTCTTATGGCTCAACATGTCATTCTACCAAAAAAAGCTCTTCTCACCCTGCTTTTCTGCCACTGAATCTCCCCTGTGCCCAGATCGGGGACTTTAGTAATTTGTACCATATGCAGCTGTTGGTAAGTATTTAGTTTCATTTATTCAGTAAAAATTACAGTAGCCAAATAATATCCAGGCAGTAACCTGCCAAAATTTGGATGACAGGTAAAGAATAAGTTTCAAAAATTATCATTTTCTGGTAGGGTTTTGTTGTTTTTTTTTCTCACTTCTATGTCTACGTTAAAAAAAATGAACACCCACATTTATAAAATACTCTTAAGCCAGGAACATGTGAATTTCCATGGATATCTCAAGGAGGAAGAAAACAGAAGATGCATCCCTGTGATGCAACTCTTCGAATCAAAGTAAATCTGCTGTAACTGGAAGTCTTATCCTTATCGCAGTCCATAGTAAGTTTTTTTGCAGACCAAAGTAGTTTATTTCCAGAGTAACCATTAATTTATGCACAAGGCCCCTAAGCTAGGTTTTCACTCTAAGATTCTCCCTCTCATGACAGATCTATTCATGTAGTTACAGCTGAAATCCTTCTGATGAACATGCGTACCAGTGAAAAGACCTTGTTTTCAAACGCTGCTTCATCCCCCCTTCTTTGTCCTTGGCTTATCTTTGCAACTTTACTGCCTTTTTTGATCATGGTCATGATCTCCAGTTCATCTCCTGAATAGCTGCCATTGCAGCTATTTTTATTTCTGTTGACAAAATATATCCAAAGCCATCAGTAGCCTTAGTGTTCAAACGCCTGCATATTATTAAAAATAATAATAATTAAACCCCTGGGAAACCCAAAGGAAGAATGATTTTCTTAGAAGTAGGACCTGTGCAGTCACTTTCTGGGTGCTGGTGACTGGAGGCCATTTTCTGCTAACATCTCTCCTGTAATTCAACAGCCTTCTTGTGATACAACTGCAAAATGGAGTTTAGGGAGGTATCACATGTAAGGAGGATGAGAAGATAGATGAGAGGATGGGATGTCTGTGGAATCAAATTACTCTTATATAAAGGTCTGTGTTAGGTTTAGTTCATAAGTTCTTTGAAAACCCTAGAGTAATCATATATTTCAAGATATGAAACATTCTGTCATTTTGCAAACTCTAGGCTCCCTTCTGTTTTGCTTTTCTGTCTCTGTCTCATTCAATTTTACTGCACAACCTCTCGTGTCTTTCATACTACCTGCTGTTTGCAGACATTTCCAGGCTCGCACTTTGTTAAAAATGTAGTGTCTCTTGTTCCACCACAGTGCCTGCTTTCAGCAGAGGGGGCACAGACTCAGCCTACTGTTAAGTCTCTAATATCATACGTGCACTTCAGTATATGTCTAGTATCATATACATCTCTAGCTGTATTCTGATCAAATCAAACATATTCTAGGTTCAAGTAGCCTGGTACATGATCACATCTGGAATACCTACAGGTACAGACAGCTCAAGGGGTCATTGTGTGGGGCAGCGTGGAGGGAATGAGAGTATGAATTTGTGGTGCCCCAATTACTTGAGACGTCCCACAAGGAAAGCAGATGACATGAAGAACATTCTGCAACTTCACACGCCTGTGTATGCTGTGGCAACCTCCTCACCTCTTCCATTCTTCTGAGGAATGCCGGTAGATCTTGTGTGAAAGGTGAACTGCAAGTTTTCTACAGAATCATTCTTTACCATTACTTAATTAATATGGTTTTCTTTCTCTCTCCCCCCTCACATCTTTCCCAACTCCTGTAAATATGACAGGTCAGATTCGCAAAGACAATCTTTCAGGGCATTACTCCATGCCAGTGTGCTTGCTTCCATACAGCATTGCAGCCTTGTGTCATATCCCAGGTGAATCTTTTGTCCTTGTTCTCAGCTGTAGATCGGCCTTTTGAAAGGTGACTGCTTCTCTTACGGATGTGGTAGTTGGTTGAAAGCCAGCCCGTTTTCCCCTTGAGTATGACTTCTGCGAAAGATGGGCACCTCACTTTTGTCTTTGTAGCTATTTAAGGCTTCTTTATAGCTCCATTTTTGAAGGAGGGGCACATGTTAGCACTGTCTTTCCGTTGTGAAAAGGTTGTCTGGTGATTAGTCCAACCTGATGTAAAGGCTGAGAGTCAACCAGGCCACGGCTCTCCTCCTCACTGCTGATGGAGATACTGCAGTTCTCAACGACGCGTGTGCTACTGCTTTGCCTGCAGTTTATTCCCATGTTGACATTTGCACAAAGTGGTGTCTGGTGCCATGGAGCAATTCTGCTGCTGTGGAGCAAGGCCTTAGGCATGCTATAGAAGCAAGGGCTCCTCTCTTACACGGCACTTGCACTGGAGTTCCAGGCTCTATTTTGTGTTTTATTGCTTCAGAAATAGTAATACAAATTCTCAGTGACATCCACCCCTTTCTGGGTGTATAAACTTAAATCATTTTAATTTCTTTGACTTACCAGATCTATTTTATTGGAGCTGTAGCAGTATAAAACTCAGGATAGGAAATGCACCCAAGAAGCTGGAGGAAAGCTCAGGCAGTTAGCCGATGTGGAAGTGAGCTAGCTGGACGTGCTTTATCAAGATGTATGCTCAGCAAAGTGCAGTGACTGCAGATTGAGCAGAGCACTCTTAGCTACATTTACCATACCCACAGGGCAAAAAAGAGCACCATAAATTTGGTCCAAAATCAAAGACATCTACATAGCAATGAATAGGGGTTTAGGTCTAAATTAGCAAGGTATGGTAAACTAATATTTGGGTTTCTGAGGCTTAAGGAAACAACATGCATGACTAATTTTGGCTAACAGAAGATTAAACATATGACTTAGAGAATCTCAAGTATTTTGAAGGTTCTAAGATACGAATCAAATGGAAAAGTGAATGTGCATATATATAATTGATGATAGTTAGCATCAGGTATTCCCTTAGATCTGTTTGGTTTTTTTTAGTCTCTCATTGTATTGCTGTTTACTTTAAGATACAAGCAAAATCAAAACCTGTCTGTCAACATCAGCTGTAGGAGTCTAAGCAGGTTGCAGTGGTCTGACAGTTGATGAAAAGCATAATGTATACAACGTTTTTCACAGCTTTGAAAAACTCATCTACACGTACCGTATCTTCAGGGAAGACCAAGGATATTTTAGAATACAGGTGAGTAACTCTCATTTCATCTGTAAAGATTGCACTAAAGACCACTGTCATGATTTAAAAAAATTAATAGACATGAACACATTACCTTAGAAAATATTTCCAAGTTTGTGCTCTTCTCCACTCAATTCTTGACTTTTTAATGTTGTACTTATTACATATGAGCTCAGGAGTTGCTATTATCTTTGTAGAAAACCCTTATAACCTAAGTGGATCTGTTATTTCTTGACGAGCTGCTTTCTGATTTGGCCATTTCTTTTTCATAGCACTGAAGAAAAGTCTATCACTTTCATTACTTGCTCCTATTCCAAATTAGCTTTTTTTTATTATTATTTGAAAGCTCTGCCATTGCACCCAGCATCTTGTAGGGGTTTTTGAATATTGGAAGGATCTTTTTGATTTCAAGAGACCTATTTACAATTATCTGTGATTCTGGGCCACCTGAAGTGATGCCCCCAGATAATGCTGCTCATTGCTTGAACAAGTGTAAGAGCAGACTGCACCAATGAAATCCCTAGGCAAGGTGAGAGAACATTTAAAAATCTGGCTCACTCCTCTGCTTGGAGTAGCACAGCCAACAGGACTGCCAACAATTAAGTACCATTTAAGTGGAATGAGGAGCTCACTCCATAGAGGACACACCAAGCTCTCATATGCTGGTAATTTCTTGCTTATTAGTGGTTTGGACTGAGTACAAAAGACACAATTTGCAATGAGGAATTGAATGGTTTGTTGACAAAAATATAGTCTATTTTGGACTGTAGCCACTCTTCTGGGTTTTGCTGTCATGCCTATCAGCAGATAATAACTCAACACTTTTAGGTTCATCAAACCCAATTTTCCATACAAGTTTTTGCCAAGAATGTAAAAGGAGACTTCTGTTCAAATTTTTAAGTCAGATTGTTTTGGCTCTCTAAAATAATATACTGAAATAATACATTGATGGTGGAAGGGAGATTTTAGTTTTTTTTAAGGGCCAGATTCATCCATGAACTTTCTAGAGTACGGTAGGTTGGCCCCGGTCAGCAGCTAAGCACCCACTCCCCCACTTCGTGGGACAGGGTGAGTGGAAGAGAACATGAAGAGCACAAATTAGGAAACTCCTGGATCAAGATAAAAATCAGTTAAATAGGTGAAGCAAAGTTATGCATGCAAGCATAGCAAAGAAGGAGTTTAGTCACTACTTTGCATCAGGAGGCAGATGTTTAACCACCTCCTGGAAAGCAGGGTCTCAGCACACCTGATGGTTACTTGGGAAGAAAAGTGCCATACCCACAAACGTCCCCACTTTCCTCAGCTTTTATTGCTGAGCATAAAGTCATATGGGATGGGATATCTCTTTGGTCAATTCAGGTCCGCTGTCTGGTCTATGTCCCCTCCCAGCATCATGCGCACTCCCAGCCTACTCGCTGGGGGAGCAGAGCAGGAAAAAGAGACAATCTCAAGGCTGTGCAAGCATTGTTCAGCAACAGCCAAAAGAGGGGTGTGTTATCAACACTGTTTTAGTCACAAATTCAAAATACAGCACTATACCAGCTGCTACAAAGAAAGATAACTCCATCCCAGCCAGACCCAGTACACGGAAGACAGTGGCACCCAGTCCATACAGGGCTGAAGGGAGGATAAGGGATGCAGAAAACCAAAGAAAATAAGGACATGTTTCTTTGTTAGATAGCAAATGAAGTAAAACCAAAGCCCCATTCACTTTTAAGGACTGGCAGTAGAATCCATGCTGTGATTAGAGCTGATTAACGTGCTCACTGTCTGTCACTGTCCTGAAGTCACCAGTGTTGCAAAGCATACAGATCACTGGGGGGCTGTGCCATGGAAGCAATTCAGTCCAGCTGTATGAACTCACACACTAAAAAGCAGTTCATGAAAACGCCGTTCCCTCATTTAGGAGTGCTATCCTCCATGCTTGGCCTCAGGAGTCTCCAGTGCAAGTCACAAATCTGACATAAACAATAAACTCCTGCCTAAAAGTGAAAGCTGGTGACGGGAACTTTCATATGGACCCTCAGACATGTCCGCTGCCTCTGCAGTTGTCCTTTGCTTGACATTTTGTTGATATTTTGTAAAACATTTGGCTTGTGCTGGTCACATAGTTGTTTAAATCCAACATTCTAAGTGAGAATTAAGTAAGTTGCCCCTGAATTTGTGCTCTGACAGCAGAGGGAAGTCTGTAATGCTGTCACCCTTCGACACTCTGCTGTAGCAGATCACTGCAGCGCACATCTAAGCCAGTATTTTACACTGATGTTCTTTTTTTAAACAAAAAGATGGTGAGGGAGGTTACACTTGGTGCCATAACCACACCACCAAACAGGTGTCCCTAGTGTTTTAAGGATAGCACAATATTCTGTCTCCAAATCTGTTTACAAAACAGCTCCTTGGTAAACAAGAAACAACCTATCATTCCTTTCATCAAGGTAACCCTATGTGAAGAGCAATTGCAAACAAACTTTACTTTCCTTTCCTTGCAGACTTCTGAAGGTGTTCCAGAGAGGACCTTCAGAACATTAAAGGACCTAATATATACTTATGAAAAGCCAAATCAAGGACTAATAATAAACCTTCGCTATCCAGTAGGAAAACCAAAGGCTTCACAAAGCCAGAGGTTCAAGTCAGGAAAGGACAACATTTATGATGGTGAGAAATTTAGCTCTGCCTTTGTGGGTTTTGTTTGGGGTTTTTTTTTAAGATGACTGCATTGACAGGTCTGCGGTGAATAGTTGCTAGGTGTCCTCCGAGACCAGCTTGCACGGACAGAAGTTCAACATCCGTCCTTCTCTCTTATGTTCACTGGAAAAGTGTTATTCCCAGCTCACAGGTTACATACCCCCATCCACGACAAGTTAACAAGTTAAAATTGCAAGAGAGACAGACAGCAAACTGTCTGAGTGAGCCCAAAGCTCACTCCTCCATGGGCATTGGTGCTTCTAGGCTAGGGAAGGCTGAGGACCAGTTTTACTCAATGTGGTTCTGCCAAACTGCCAGGCCCCTGCACTGTGCTGGGAGTTGAGGCTGTCCTTTACCTTCATTGTCCAGGTTGAGAGCTATTTTTATACCAAAATCCAATTCAGTTATTTTTGAGATGCTAGAAATGAAAAGGGGCGGGGGGAGGTGGGGAGTAGAAAAAGAAATAAAAAAAAAAAGAAGGAAAAAAAAAAAGAAAATCCAGCCAGCTTGTGGTTTGTTGAGATTTGTATTAAAACATAACTAATTTGTTAAGCTAGTTTGTTGAAAATAAGAAGCATATAGCCTTCTGCTTAGAATCACAGCTTTGGAACCAGAGTTCAGCCTCTGGTTGATCCGCTAACTTATGCTCACAAGTCCCAGGCATAAGACAAGGATACAATACCTGACAGAAATATTATGCAAATAGGTAGGATAAAGATGGAGGTTTTCACAAGGTGGTAGACCATGTTTTATAGTCCAATGTCACCTTTATGTCCTTGGTTTGGGGAGGATGAATAGAGAGATCCTGTTGGTAACTTGCCAGCACCCCTCCCGCGCTTTTGAAGGGACTTTCCGTATCTGCTGTACCCATCTGGTCACAGACTGCAAAACAAGCTGGAAACTCTTCCAGGTCTAAGCAAGACTGCATTGTGCTATATAGTCACGGCTACCTCAGCTCTTGGTCTGACTCGCTGAGCAGGCGTGATTTCCAGCGTTTGGCTGTTTCTCAGGAAGAAGGCATCTCGTGTGGACACAACTGTTTAGCACAGTAATTTGCAGCGCTTGCTGGCTCAGGAAAGATGATGCAGGCACGTGGAGGACCCTGTCTGTAGGACACAGGGCCTAAATGTTGCCCTTGCCGTAGGAGAGAGAGTACTGAGAAACCAAACTGAATTCCTGACACCTGCCTGGCAACACGGCCACGGGCCAGCCTGCTTACCACCGGTTTTCAGGGGGGGCATTTGCAATGACATCTTTTTTTTTTTTTCCTCTTTCTTTTTTTTTTTTTTTAAATTGATTTCTTTACAGAAATTGACGAAAGCGACTACATCGCTGTTATACCCTGAATGACCTGCTGTTTTACCCTGAAGCTGCCATTCCAGGCTGTGCCGCGGCACGTGGGATCGGCTCGGGGGATCTGCCAGCTGGGCATTCTCCACTGTGGACATGTACCTCTGGAATTTTAGCACCTTTTGCAGACTGTCAGAGCAGCTGTATTTTCTCCCAGTAGATCCAGTATGAGCTACGACACATTACTGTTCAGCAAGTTGATTTTTATAAGACACATGCACACATGTACGTATATATGGAAGGGGGAAGGGTATCTGTGTGCACATATGTGTATTTTGGTTTTTTAGTCAGCAAACTGTTCTAGGTGTCTACTGCTAAAACGAATAATCTGTTAGAAAGCAGCAATATAGATACAATAAATGAATCATAGAATCATAGAATGGTTTAGGTTGTAAAGGACCTTAAAGATCATCGAGTTCCAACCTCCCATGCATAAAAAAGTAGTTTATGGCATCACTGATATGTGTTGATAAAAATGATACATAATAAAAAGTCTATTGGATCATATGATGCTTAAAACCCTCCAAACTCTTGTTATTTTGTGCACAATTCATGTTATCTTATTGTTGGCTAAGTGGATAGTATTTCAGCTACATCAAAGAATACCAGTATTATCTTGTAGTTTGGAATAATCTAAAATAAAACAAAAAATCTTTGATAAATCCATGACATAAAGGATTAATCAACACCGTGAAAATGGTTTGAAATACTTTCAACATCAGTGAATGGTTCTAGTAGATTACAAGAGGAGTGCGAGTTCTACGTGCATGTTGGTATGAACACATCCTTTTTTTATTTTTTTTTAATAGATATTGTAGAAATGAGAATGCTTACTACATTTCATTTGCTACTGTATTATTGCCATTAGCTCTGTACCGTAATGTGTATGGGTTTTCTTATTTTTCCCTGTGAGAATTTGCCTTAATCTTACTCCTCATTTTAAATGTTTAAAATACACTTCTGTTCTGAAGGTGGTCTGCAACTAGTAACTCAAGCCAGAACTGGACCGTATGTCCTGATACTCCCAGGCGCTAGTACAAACTCCCTCTCCATTCGTGATCTTGAAGAAGACATTTATGTTGCTTGAGTGTATATTTAAGATATTTCACAAATTATTTGTCCATTTTTCTGGGCAATACTACTTAGATTTCTTACTTATTATGTTTCTTTCACACCAATATTTGCTAAAGGACTTTTAGATATTGCAGTGCTTTGGCCGTGGTTATGAATTTCACAGTGCTAACAGGTTTTGTTGGCAGGCTCAAATAGTACTTGTCGCAAAAACAGGACGCTCCAGAGAGCGGGGGGAGGATAAT